AGTCATTGTACCCAGCTTAGAATAACCAATTTATTACTACTGAGGATAGTTTAGTATATTTTGTCATGGTAGGTGGATTAGGATTTGGGGCCAGAGACTATGTAATGTGCTTTATTAGTTCTATTGTTAAGGATATTAATGAAAAAACCTATCAAAGTTTCTTCAGAATTATATATCCCTATTTCCTCCAATATAATTTGTTCTATAGGAACCTAGCTAATCCACAATTCTGCCTAATTCTCCATATCTCGAACAATCTAAACCTCATTCTAAACCCTATCATGTTACGTTAATCTCATGTGCCAAGATCGCACCTACAACAATTCGTGATCTGTAATTATTGGGATTTCGACTGATATATTTTCTTATTAACTGGTGGCAATATTTTTTCCTTTTGGATGATGATGTGAGAATACTTGTGCTGGACTGCTGCATAATCACCTATGGTATGGGGGACTGTTGTAATGCATGATTATTGAATTGATCGAAGCACTGACGAAGAAGCCATGCACACTAATAAAATCTTTGTCTGGACCTAATAAATGAATCAATCGACTGCCGCTTTTGAACTCTACATCTCTGGATAAGAATGATAGTATCTGGGTTTCAAGAAACTAGTATTGGTACTTGATGTCGGATACTGTTGTAACCAAATAAATCAAGGTTGTCATCAATTTCATCATTGACTCGATCTTTTAGTAAACGGATCGAGTGTCGAACAAGTTTTTTTTCGAGCCGAACGTCGAATTGCTTGTACTGTAGCATGTTGAATCATTTGCAGCCCTAATTGTAAATAATGATTTCTCAACTTAAGAAATGGTTATGTTGCTCTATCACAATGGATCAATCCCGACAGACACGATTATTCCTCATAAATGAATCTTTTTCAAAAAACTAGTAAACCAGTCAAACAATCAACACGACACACGACATATAGAATTTCGGGTCTGGTAGACTCCCAATGTGGGAAGAGATTTCATCCATCTCCACGCCCCCACTTGAGATTTCACGGCGGCCAATCTCCGGCCGCTGTTGATTCTCGTTGGCAGCCTGGGGATTCGCAAGGGTATTTGGACAGCCATGCGGCCCAATTCTCGTCCAGGCTCAGCCCACGATCTCTATCCTGTAGCATAGGCCCAGTCAGCAAGGCCCGTTTCCCGTACTGCTCCTCCACGTACTCCTTTTTACAGGAATATGTGTTCAGATTTATTAATCAGATAACGTGGGCTCCTCCCGTACTGCTCCTCCCAAAATAATCCCACATGCGTGGGCTCCACAGACCATAATCCAACATTACTTTAACAACAAATGTGGACTTTGTGCATAATCTCATAGATGTGGGATTTTGATCCAATATCATTTATGAAAATCCTACAAGCAAATGACCTCTTAACAAACTCGCCTTCCGACACCCGCCAAGTTTCTCAGCGGCAGCGCCTATTAGAGTATGTGTAGTACTGTATTTTGATTTACCAACAGCGCCAAGGCGTCGTCGGCCGATATCAATGTCACGATCCGGTCGTACAATGAAACCGACCCGAATTTCTCGGCGAAAATCCTCGTCTGGGCAATCTCTCTAACTTCCACAGTCACTGGCGGAGGCAGCCCTATTGGGCATTGTCTCGGACAGGGGTAAATTTTGGGAGGAACAAAAATACTTCATATATGTTTATACGAAGGATGGAACACAACACCATTGTACTTCGTTACTATATCACAACTCATTATTTATCATAAATTGACAATGAATTAATTATTATACAATAAACGAACTCTCAATTGGAATATATCTCTTTTCTTTATATGCCTATTCGATTATTTGCAAGCAATCTTGAAGCAGTCTAGTGGCAGCGCCGATTCTACTAGTTTTGACGGCAAGTGTCGATAAAATATTTTCAGCTTTGAGCTATCTGAAGAACGAACTTTAAAGTCAAACTCACGACCAGTTTGCTAATGGTTGTTTAGTGATATCCATTGAAAATGACTTACTTAAGTGTGTAGACAAAGAATGTATTGTGTGTTTCTTCCGAATATGAAAACTCGTCATGATTGTTTATGAAAATACCGATTATAATAGTAGTTATTTTTATATATGAAAATAAATTATTTAGATATTATTAACTTAATTATATTCATTAAATATTTATATATTTATAATACGAAAAGAGAACAGGGGTAGTTTCAAATCCTGCCTCCGCCACTGTACACACTCCACACTCATTGTCTCCCTCTTTGTTTCATTAGAAAAAAATTCACCAGCACAATAACATACCTTCCATCTATCTTTTGTCCAGTGCTTGAAATGAATCCAAAGATGGACGATAATAGATACTTAACTTGATACGGTTACATACACCACAACTAGAATTCCTTCCCCAAGATGCTGATCAACCGGCCACCATAACAGCTATTGTTTAGCTTCAATCAGAACAGCGGCAGATCAGTAATCGATTGAGCTGCACAAACGCCATCGCTAGCGGGGGAAAACAGACTTGTTTGCCATCCCCACCTGTGAACCTAACCTACCTGGGCGGGCAGAAAGGGTCCAGAACAACGTTGTCGAAGCTTAGAACGAAAGAGATCGTCTATCTGCTATACCGTGCAGCTTCGCAGCTTCTGTTCCCCTACCTTGACCTTGAAGTTTCTCACTACTCTTATTTCTCGTATTACTGTGGCGACCCTACTGCTCTCGACTCCACTAGAGTTCTGTTCTGATGGGTACACGTCGGGATAGGGAAACCGACGCGAGGAGATGGGCTATTGGGGGTTGGGTCATTAGTATTGGTTAGGTGGGTGATTAGTTGATTGTTAGTTTTATTAGAAGTCCATTTGGTAGGAGGTCTCTAAGAGGCCGAGTCGGCTAGGGTTAGGGTTAGGGTTTCAGTTAGTAGTCTATATATTGTAAGTTTGGCATCAGTTCGGGTTATCGAATAATAAAACTAAAGGTTTATCGACGTCCAAGTCGTTCTCCCGAACGTGGGTTACATTTCCATCATGTTCATTTAAAGACCCTGTAGATTGCTGTTTCTGGTGCCGAGAAGATGACAATGGCGAGAGAGCTGATGATGCTGGATCTTGTCAAACTTTCTTCCCCTTCAGCCATTTGTTTTCTGCTCTCGCTTATGACTTGATGGAGTGGTCAAAGGTGCCGACTTTGCAAGTTCTGATACAGAGGGGTCTGCTGCTGTGGTTCAACTTCCAGCTCTTCTTGTTCCTTAGATCCTTGGCCTTGTACCAGTTGCTGCTTTTGCTCCTACTGATCAGATGCCAAGGAGTTTTCTAGTTCTAATGCAATGTGCTTGGTGGGGCTTCAACTTGCAGCTCTACGAAGATCTTTAGCCTTCGTCCCGCTCATTGGAAATCTGTGGTTGAACTGGTTTTTGGCTGAACATGTTGCAGCTGCTCTACGAAGATATTTGATCTTCAACCTGCGGTGGCTTACCTGACTCCTTAGTAGATGGTTTCAACTTATCAGTTACACCAACACTCAGATTCAACTTGGGGATGTTCTCAAGAGTCATGAGTACCTTCCACTTGCAGTTTCTCGCCATGTTCTTTATGTTCTAACTTCTAAGCAAGTTCTCGTATCACAGAAGTCATTACTAGTCTGGTCGTTAACATGTCCCCCCTTGCCTTGAACTTGACCTTGTTGCTTACGAGGATTTTGAAGATAGATTATCCGCCCAGTACTGCGCTCCAAAGCCAACTTCATTGGAAGTGCCTTCCCATGATTTTGCAACTCCTTTTCATGCAGTGAAGGCAACCTCTCAGTCAGGACTTCAACTGATGTCTCTTCAGGTAGTGAGGAACCCTAGCCCTGGGGCTGCTGGCACATCTGAATATATACAATCCTCTGATGTTGGCTGATTCATCTTTAATTCTTTCATAGGGATTTCGCCCTCCTGTTCTCTACCCGGTCTTGATTCCTTGGCATTTAGTCCTCTAGTCCGAGATCTTTTGCACCTAGGGCCTTTTATAGTCCAGCCCATATCATACATTAGGCAAGCACTTATTGGTGTGGAATTGACATAACACTCTTCTATCTACCTAACTCATCCACAGACCAGAGACCATCATAGCATGGCTGGCTTTATTGGGAAGTTACAATCACTAATAAGTATCTTAACCTCTAGCACTGCCTTTATTTTCCAAGTCAACTCTTGCATTGTCATCTTCTTCTTCCCAAAAACCCTGAAATAGCATTCCCTCCATACTTCACTAACCATCATGGTCCACAGAAAACCTCCCAAACTTCTGCACAGTTTCTTCTAAACCTTCGTGGCATCCTCCACCAGGGTATAATCCCATCCAGTGACCAAAACAACCTGCAAAACTTCTTGTACAAACAGCAGCAAAAGAACAAATTATCCCTGGTTTCATTAACCACCATACACAATGACTAAAGTGTTTCATAGATAAAAAAAATATATGTAAAAATTGATGGTAAATAATAGCTAAAAATGAATTGAATCGGTTGTCTTTTATATTGGCTTTGATTAGATAAGTAAAATTTTTGTATATGAAACGCGAAAAATTGTACCTTGATTGAAGAATTATTATTTTGAAGAGCGTAATCTTTTGAGATTCGAATTTAAACCTCTAAAATATGAATTTACAGTGTTACAATAGGATTACATTCATTTCACATCTTCAATGAAGATATTACTAACTAATAATCACCATTATTTTTAACCCTTTGAAACCTCAACTTATACTAACTTGAATCCTTTAACTCAAGATTTTAACTCTAAGTATAGCTCAAACCTCAAAAGAGTCTTCCAAAACAGAATTGATCTCTTACCCCTCCCCCCCAACACTTCTAACCCTTTCGAAGCTAAATCTGCACCAGCTCGTCACTCTCGTTCACTCATTATTCCATCTCTTTTCACAACTCAAAAAAGACATTATATATACACAACATTTACATATACTATCACTTCACAAAATTACTTGTGAGACCTACACTATATAGTAAAATTACCCAAAAACATGGGTCACTCTCACTCCTCAAATGTGACATGGAACCTCTTGTACCTCCTCTCAATCTCCACAGGCACATTACCACAACACCCACCACCACCAAGTCTTGCCAACTCCATCCCTCCATCCCCAATTGGCAAGCTCACAGAATAGCAACCTTCTTTATTCCTCCCCAAAGCCTCCCCAAAAGAAGAACACCCACCTTTGTAACCACCCCTTCCTTTCGTCTTATCCAAGTTATGACCCACAATCATAGAACCAATTGGGTTCACATCAAGCAACCCCAAGAGCTCCAAATGGTGCTCTACATCCCCATCCACCACAACAAAATCAACCCCTCTGTATTTCTTGAGACCCAAGTCATCATCACCACTAGAAACATGCTCCACTACCACATCTCCAAGCTCCATTGACTCCAACTGAGACTTGATTTGACTTTCATGAGTTGTTGATGAGGAAGAAGGAATGTTGTTGAGAGTAGTGGTGCAGAGAACGACTTTCCTTCCTGTATGCATTGCTGCAACAGCAAGTGCCATTGTCAGTGGAGTGATACCATTTCACTACAAGGAAAATGACCTATGCCAAGGGTTTGATAGAAAGGGTTCCGAAACCGTTGCTAAGATTTTCGGAAACAATTGTAGCAGGGCTTCGTTGTAAGGGTTCAGAAACCCTTGTTAGCCTTAAACTAAATCTAATCGCAAACTCTTTCCTTTAAGGAATCCTCTGGCCTCGGGTGTATTATTCAATAGATATATGGCCAAGTACTAATTTATTCTAGGTTGAAAGAGGATTCTAGTCATCCAAAAAACAAGGAAGGAGATTCCGATCTCCCTCCTCAATCGCTCTGCCTGAAAGGCGATTCCAGTCTCTCCCTCACTTGATCCGCCTGAAGAGGCGATTCTCCAGTCTTGCTCTCTCCGGCTGCAGAGGCGATTCCCCGGCCTTCCTTGCTCACTCCGCCTGAAGAGGCGACTCCTCCGGTCTTCATCGCTCACTCTGGCTGAAGAGGCGATTCTCCGGTCTTTCTCGCGCACTCCTGGTGAAGAGGCGATTCCCCGTTTTTTTCTCGCTCGGTCCGGCTGAAAGGTGATACTCTGATTTTCTTTACCTACTCTCTCTCTCTCTCTCTCTCTCTCTCTCTCTCTCTCTCTCTCTCTCTCTCTCTCTCTTCTTCGCTCACTCTCTGCTTCCCTCGTTATCCCTCTCTTGCGTGAGTGAGCTCCGATTAGGTTTTTTAGGGTTTGTATTGTGGTCGCCGCCGCCGGCTGCATGCAGTAGTGAGGTTTTCGATGGCAAAGAGGAGTGATGTGATTGCAATTGATTTGCGGTGACGGTGTTGAGCGGAGGAGGGATGCCGGCGAGTTGAGGTGGAGGAGACATGGGAATTGATAGCGCCATTGCTTCAATTTCCGCTTTGTGTGCAGTGGAATGGTTAAGTTACAGAGTTATACACAGGAGAAGAGTCGGTTAGTTGCTCATGTTTTGGGGTAGGTGTGATTATTTCCTTTGTATCCTTGTAATTGGTTTTTATTTATTCGTTTATCATTTGTGGCAATGTCTCTGTGTTCGATATCCAAATAAGATAATTTCTATCATAATTATTTCTTTGGGTAACTTTTGAGTTGTATGACCATTCTGAACATGATAAGTTGTGAAGGTGGAAGGCAAGGCTGTCGGTGACCTGGGGAGCATTCCCGATGGTGCACAGGGGAGGTGAGAAATAACTCAAGCTCATGCTGTTCTTAGTATGTATCATGCTGGATCGAGTAGTAGAAATGTATAATGTGAACATTTTAGAGAGTTCTGATGACAGGTCTATTGTTCTTGAGGCAGGTAAACAAACCCACTCTGCCACTGGGCTCTGGTGAGTTCTCAATGGCAACTGGGTTTACTATTGTTGTTCCATCTTTAATCACAGTATGTGACTGCTAATTTCATATCATTTGACGATTCGTACTGGTTAACATGTGGCTGATGAAAAATTGGGATGCAGAGCCTTTACATGGGGTGGAATTTCAGTCTCCTTGCTCATTAGCTTTCTGTTTGTGAGTGCATACTCTGTTGAAGTAAGCTTACTTCTGCATTCACCCTTTGCATCATTATTATATGTACAAGGTTTAGTTGAAAGCTTAATCATTTAAGTTTGATATTACATATGGCTTTGCTTATGAGATGGAAGAGGCATTCATTTCTTGCAGCCAGTTGCATCTTGATCGAGGGCAGTCGTTGTCCAATTAGCTTTCTTCATACACATGCAGGTACACTTATTCTCTTAGTTCCTGGTTTTTCCATGTCTTATAACACATATCCTTACAGTTACAAATATGTGTAGATGTAGGTTGCACTAATTATCATATTATATTATGATTAGGAACGCACGATGTTCCTCTGTGTTATTCCAGATAATAACAGACTCCACTTGACTGAAATTATTTTGTTCTTCCTTGTTGTGGCTTTGTGCAGACTTACTTTTTGAATATAATCAGCATACTTGTGCCTACAGAGTGTTAGATGATGATGCTTGAGATATTCCTCTCCTGGCACATGTAAACACTTCATAAGTGGTTAAACATGATCATTCTTATGCAGTGAAAAATAGAGCCGGTAAATTTTCATTTTCCTTCCAACGACATAAGAATTAGTTGATAATTCAGCGGAAATGTATTTTCAAGTGCCTTTAAAGTGAATTTTCTTGTTTTATGCAGGTTCGGGTTGCAGAATATGGGGTTAATTAGAATTGACGAGCTCCAAGAAGAACATGGTCATTCCCATGAGAGTAGCGATGTTTAAGGGAGTCATCTTCTTCGTGTAATCTAGTAAGTCTGACTCTTAAACCTACTTAGATTTCTTTGCGCGATTACTGTTCAAGGTACTCTGAATTCGTTTCCATTACAGTGGATTTCTTGGAGCTCGATTCTAGCCAATTTGATTTAGTTCCAAAGCTCTCTACCGATCAATCTATTTCAGAGGTAATCTTCCTATTTGGTTTGATGTGAGAATTATTAGTTCTGATTGTTTACATTGGGGTAAAGGAAATTCTGTGTTGCTTGAGGATTCATGTTTTTTATCCGAAAGATGGATGTGTTTTAGTGTCCGGGAGAATGAGGATTGAGTGTTCCCAATTGAGGTAGTCACATTTTGTTTATGTTATTGTTGGTTGGGAATATTTAGACCAAATGATTTCTGAAGTCATAAGGTATGGGGAATTGCTATATGATATATATATGTTCATCATGGAATGAATTAGTACAAATTATATCTTCTTCACTTCTAACCCTAACCCAATCACTCAACTCATTATTCCTACTGTACATTAATTTGCAGCTTGCAATATCAGAGAACTAATCAAGAGAACTACTCAAGGTGAAAAAAGCTGGATAACCGATTTCCCCATTCGCAATGAATGTAAGTTGAAAGAATAGATGTGTGTGATTATTTAGTAGTGTTGTAGACATGCTATTGTTTGCTTCTTTATTTGATAATGTACTCTGCATAATCTAAACACGGATGAGCATGGCTACCTGCTAATGTGATACTTATAATAAATAACCAATTTCACGAATCAGAAGAGAGAGGACAAAAGCAGCAGCTACAGTCGGGTTTGTTGAAGAGAAAATTGAGAGAAACTCAGGATGGAACTTGAGCAAAAGGTTTGCAGTGTGTTTGTCCTTTTTTCAACATAACTATTCCAATAATATATTTGCACGACTTGACTATTCAAGTTGTTACTCTTGGAAAGCATAGGTAGTTGAACTAGAAGCCGAGGTGAAAAGGATCCAGGAGTAGGCAAAAGCAGAACTGGTTGTAGCACAAAGCTATATAGGGGTTTCTTGTGCTATATTGATGCATTGTAATTTGCTCAATGTTGGTTCATACTCGGTGTTATTATGTTGCCATAACTGTTACTCTTACTAATTCTTTTATTTTATTTCTTTTATGAACAGGGCGCCAATAGTGCTGCTGCTCGTCTTTGGGTTCTCAAGCTTCTTGATACGATGTCGTCGTGAATGTCTTGTATAAAGAATTTTGGATCAGGTTCTACTCTTGTAGTTTTTAAGGGCTTAGAATAATATGAACATACCATCCTTCTTTGGATTATGTTTGATTTTTTTGGTCATTAAGGTGTAGCCATGTATATTATTGTTTTGGATCATGAATCATATTATGTTTATGGTGTGAATGATGGAGTGTTGATGGGTATAGTGCGTGAAATGAATTTGGTTAATATTGAAAATTTTGGTATTTGGTTTAGGGTTTGTCTATAGTGACCAAAGCATTAGCAACCAAGCTTAGCTTCTAGTTCTGGTGCTCGTTTGTCTTTGGCAACGACTGTTTCACAATGCCTTCCGGTTGTTGCGAAATGTATGTTCTGCTTTAATCACAAATTATGCAAGACCCGTAGCAAGGGTTTTAACCCATGCTATCAACATCTCTCTACTAAATTTTACACAGACTTTTAGCAAGGGTTTTAACCTATGCTACTTGTACCAAGGGTTCAAACCCTTGATAAAACCCTTGGATGGGACTTGCACCTAGGGTTGCTAAAAACCCTTGCTACGTGTAGCAGGGGTGGCTTTGGCAAGGGTTGGTACAAAGGTTGACAAAACCCTTGCTAAACCTTGTAGCAAGGGTTTTAACCCTTGGTATAGGTGAAAATAACCCTTGGCATAGACCAATTTTTTTGTAGTGTTTGGTGAGGAAGTGATCTCCACCACTAGCTTTGATCTCCTACCTGCTGCCAGTGCTGCCACCAGCTCTATTGACTTGGGTTCTATGATTGATGAAGCACATTCCTTCCTCTTCTCAAAGATCAAATCGATTCAGAGTCATGATTAGTATATGTTGCGTGCATAGCATTCGACAACTATACTGAAGCCAACGCTCACGCCCAAAATAAGTACCATCTGAAATTTGATCGAACTTAAATTTTAAAATTTATTCGTTCTAATTCGAATTCAAATGGCCAATCATTTCGAAAGATGTCCCTCCGTCTATCATCTAAAGTACTAGTACACCTAAGTCACAATTGCATAGCTAGCACAAGTGAATCTAAAGCTACATGGTGAAGAAAAGAGTAGAAGTACAAGTTTAGAGGGTATCCCATCATTTCTCTTACCAGCTGAAGGGCATGCAAGTAAGCTTTCATGGCATCTTGAGGAGACCATGAACTAAGTAGAAAATTAAACATTTGGTATAGTGTAGTAACTAAGTAGAATAAGAAACTTGTACCGTGAACTATGATAGCATGTGAATAATTCGTGTATGGTGGTTGTCTGGTTGAATTGAATGATATTGATATAGGTTAGTAACTGTGAGATGTGAGTGTGACGCATGAATATATGAGTGTAGGGGTGGGCACGCGGGTGGTTAATCCGTGGGTTCATATCGATTCCCTGCAAATAACCCGAACCGCCAGAAGTGGAAGATTGATGTGGGTGGATTACGGATTGATAAATAGTCTTACTAATTTGCTAGGAACTTATTATAAATGTTAGTCAATTTTTTTAATGGCTAGTTGGAGAGAATTGCTTTTGCGGGTTAACCAATGAACTAACCGCACTCATCCACCACTTCACCCAACCCGACCCGCAGGCAGAAGAATGTGAGTGGATAGCGGTCACAATTATACCAACTCGCAAGTAAGCGAGTGGGTTAATTTGAGACCAAAACCCACCCAACCCGCCCATTGCCTACCCCTCTATGAGTGTGACCATGTTTTTCAAAAAATTTATTTTTAACCTTATCAAAATGGATATCATTGTGTAGATCACATAAAAACTTATTTATTGGAGCACAAATAACTAAATTTGAAGTTGAAACGAAATAAATATGAGCCAACTAAGAATAGTAGGGGGGATTGAAAAAGAAGAGAAAAAATGTGATAGCTGACACATTCTAATTGGATTACTCAAAAACTTAAAAGAAAAAGTTAAATAAAAATTAAAATATTCTTTGAATTTTGATTGGTGGAAGAGGTGCTTACGTGAATGCGTAGAAATGTTAGAAATTTCATATGGTGAGGCCTTAAAAGAGAAAGTGTATATTATATTTTTAAATATCAGATAAACCTCTTAGTTTTAAATTCCACTGGCAAACCAACCCTAGTGGCATATTTTTATTACAAAACATATTTTTGATATAAAAACCTTTTTTGCCATATTTTTAATATAAAATAAAAAAAATTAATTTGAGAATAAAATATGAGCTTATTCTCACCAAAAAAAATGTGGCATTATCAGATTCCGTCCATACAGACATAGTAGGGTGACAATTTTGACCTGACCCGTTTTACTCGACCTGTTTTGCCTGTTTTGCCAGTTCTTTCCTAAATTATATGTAATTTTAGTCAAATTACTTAGGATTTTTCTTTTATTATGTCATATTTTAGCTATAATAAAGTTGTAAATTAGTGAAAACTTCAATTTCTCCAATAATGTAACTACATTTATCATATTATGGTTCATTGATTTGTTTCTTGGTCTTATAATAAAAATAAAAAATTATTTTTAATATTTTCCATATAAATTACATACTCACGATCTACACCGACCCGCGTCACATTATAAATTATCTGACATGCCACGAGAAGGGTATGAGATACTCGCCCGGGCCTCTCCCATTATCATTCTTATCATACAGACTGGGCTCGCATCGGCCCATACTTACAAGTTACCGCAGCATCGGCCCATTTCACCTCCCACCGCCATTCTCCTTCTTCTTCCCGCCACTTCTCAATTCACTGAGATTTTCATTCTCTTCCTCGTTTCTCTGCTCTGAGGCTGAGCTGCTTGCATTCTGGAAATGTCGACTCTCAGTGCAGATGATGATACGATGATAGGTTATTTTTCTATCCATTCACTCTTTTCATCTCAACTTTCCCGATGAGCGATTCTTGTTTGGTTGCTGATAAAATCGATTGCCGTCGAACACATAGCTGTATTTCAGAGATCTCGTTACAGTTTCTGTTCTTGATCGAGAATTCTATTTAGGTTTTTCTATCTATTCACTCTTGTCAAATTTCCGATACCATTTCTTGTTTGGTCGCTGAGAAAATCCATTGCCGTCGAATACATAGCTATGTTTCCGAAATTACGCCTCTAACGACGCTGATTACTCTTCTTGTTCTTGATCGAGAGTTCTGTTTGGTGTTCTTGAATCAGGAGAAATCGGAAGCGAAGTAATCGCTGGAGTGTGTAAAATGAGCAGCAAATCGAGAGAGGAGCAAACTCCGGCGTACATCGATTCCGTGTCGTCCTTCCTTCGCGAGATTTCCGTTGGCGTGCTTGAACCAGGAGGAAGGGGAAGCGAAGGAATCTCCAGAGTGTGCTTGATGAGCAGAAAATCCAGAGAGGAGCAAACTCCGGCGCACATCGATTCCGTATCGTCGTTCCCCAGCGAGATTTCTTTTGGCGTGCTTGAATCAGGAAGAAGGGGAAGCGAAGGAATCTCCGGAGTGTGTATGATGAGCCGGAAATGGAGAGACGAGCAGGCTCCGTCGTACATCGATTCTGTATCATCGTTCCTGAGCGAGAATTCCTTCGATCTCGAATTTGTTTCCATAGATCCGGTAATTTTCCTCACCCTAGTTCTTTGCTCGAGAATTCCTCTCTGTGTCTGTCAATTCGAACTGTTTGGATGGTGGATATCTCAAATTGTAATTGCTGCCGAATCTCTCTGTGCTTTTAGGATCTCATTTTCAACTGCGAAGGACTTTCAGTGGCGTTCGTTTTTGTCACTAACTGGGATTGCGGCAACCCTGAGCTAGTCTTCAACAGGTAACTTTTCTTGATTGAAATGCAGTCGCAGTTTTAGGCTAGGAGTTGAAACCTCAAGTATTGAAGATGGATGACTGTTGATTCGTCCCAAGAATTCATTCCCCTAATGGCAGCACATATCTTCTCCCTCATCAAGGGCGTGTCCTCAGTAGAAATTAGGGAGTAGTTCATCGTTAGATCTTGTACTCGTTCTCGTATGCGCTCCCTCAACCGTAAAGAAACCCCTCTATTATGCCTCATGCTGTAGATCAGATGTTAAATAGTATGTTAGGAATCTATTTGTCACAAACAGTCATAGAGTTGACTGAAATGGACTCTTATATTCAGCTCCTTGTGTGCCTGATTGTATGTTTGTCTTGATTTGGCACAGAGTTCAGAAGCTGGAGGCTCGTTTCAAAAACCTATATGTTGTTGTCTGCCTACCCACAAAGGAGAAGAAGGATTCATTTCAACGCTCTTACTTCAAGTGAGATTCTTCTTTCAAAACCCCTCTGGTTTAGTATCCTGCTACTGGTTTCTGAGGTTGCAATGTTGTTTTGCTATGACTGGGGAAGCAGATTTGAAAGGGAGATTGGCGGGCCAGTAACATTTGTGCCTATTCAAGGCTTGGAGATGGGGTTTGAGAAGATGATCAAGATAGCACTATCAGGTGGTGGTAAGTAATGATCTATAATTATGGATACCCTGATGCTTTAGCTTCCTGTGCTTCCTTGGCAAGTAATGTTACAGAGTAGTAATATAAGTAGTGACTTGTTTAAATTGATCTCTGAGTTTTGCAGCCTGCAAGCAGGAGGATGTTACCTCAGGAATGAAAGCTGAGGTTTGTGTGTTTATAACATTCTTCGTAATCAATTGTTACCTTCCTGTTTTGGTGTTTCTTACAACCTTGCATACCTTCTTATTTCATGTGAGAAGGTGAGAGGATCGTCGCAAATGGAAAATTTCATTGAAGAGGGCTCTTCAATAGTAGCATTTGGCAGCCACGAGGAGACTATGGTAAGCCTATCACCCATCAATCTTCCTGGCTACTTTAACAGCTTAATGTTTTGTTGCAAATGTCATATTTCTCTCTCTCTATCTTTGCATAAGAATCCATGGCGGAGGGCATACCTCAAGTCCTGTAGAAACTTCAATAATTTTCTTGAGGTCTTAAGGTTGTTGCACATTGCACAATATGGTGCTGAGTTATGTGAACTTTTGGGGTCTGTTTTGGCAGTTTGATGTCCCAACTGACCCTGAGCAGCATCTAGTGTCTCCAAGTGCGATGGATCCGATGGGTAATTTTGCTTTTCTTTCTTTCTGTCTGTCTTTATTCATTAGTCTTCTAAGAAAGATTAATTGAAGTGTTGTCTTGCGTATTACCTTTTTCTCTTCTTGCAGTAGGATCATACTCCCAGCCGAAGTTCCCGCAGCACTTTCAATGGGCTTACATGACGATGGGTATGCTGAATACGCCGGAAAATCGCCAAGTACTGAGCCCGGTTAGGAATCAATTAGCTTCAGGTATGTTCACTTCATTGGTTTCCAGATTTTACGTTATGGTGTCTTTGGTTCATTTTTGCTTCCTAAGATACATTTAACTTAAAGCACAAAAGTTTTTTTTTTGTCATGGTTATTAGTGCACTTAAACTAACACGATAATCACAAATTCAATCAGAATGGAATCTGATTGATCTAATGATTATATAAGAATCACATGGATGCAAGTTATACTCCTTAGAGTTTAAATAATTGCAAATTATCTGAGTTTATTTTGAAATAGTTCGGCTGTCAAATTCAAGCTTATTGAAACCTTGACTCTGATAGATGGGTTTCGGGACTGGTTACGGTGCTAATTGTACAAGAGTTAGCACCGTTCTAACCAAGGGTTAGTAGTGATTTAGCTTAGATGTTGTATTGATTTTATAATAATCCGTAGTTATTTCGTTGTTTTTAGTAGTGTTTTTTGCTAGTTATCACGGTGTTAACCCCCTATAAGGGTTAGCACCTAATCCCATCCTATGGGTTTCTATCTCCATTTGGCAATTGGACTTATTTGTCAGTTTATAGTTGTTTTGGATATTTGATTGTTATTTTAAAGATTTTTGGATTATTGGGAGGTACTTTACTAGGCAATATTATTTAGGGGTAGCTGTAGGAAATTTATCGACATATAAATTCTGTATGAATGGGATTCTTCTCATTAATCAATAATAAAACACTTATTTCCTAAATCTAATCTCTCTCCCCCTCAAACCCGAAATCCCCTTTCCTTCTCTTTCCCTTGCCGTCGGTCGGCTCCTCCCCAGGGAGACCCGATTTTCCTCTTCTCCCATCCCAAATCCTCTCTTCTTTCCCCAACCCAATCTCCAATTCTCTCTCAAATTCCAAATTTACGAACTTTAGCCGTACACGTCTACATCCGGGTTTCTCTTAGGCTCGTATTTGACTCAAGCTCAATTCAAGTTTGCTCACGAATGAGCTTAGTGGCCATAATCGAACTCGACTCATCGATAAACTCACGAGTTTGGCCGGAAAAAAAAACTAGTCATTTTTCATCATTAATTCATCTCATGTTTATATTCTTTTGATATCATATTATTTAGTTAGTAAATTTTAACTAGTTCATGTGATTCTATCTTGTTATGTACCCTGATTATTTTAATCTATCTTTTGCAAAAGATCACTGCACCTACATCTCGGTGATCTCCACCATAGAAGCTAGGATGCGGTTAGCATGGAATTACAACGGGCACATCCGTGAGATAGGTCCTTTTTCTGTGTACAATCTAGCCGACGCGGAGGGGCATCAACGGGGGCGCGGGGAGAAGATTTTACGAAACCTTGAGATTGCAAAGACCAATGGTCTGGTCCTAGAAAAAGATTACGACCCTTGGCGATGGCAAAATGGTTTTATTCTGGTGAGTAATTTGCATTAATTTCATTAGAAGTTTATGCTTATTATTTATATAAATTGGGCAGAATTTTCATGGACCTTAATTATGCAGCCTGGGAATGAGCATCATGTCTATCAGTATTGGCGACAACTTGAGGAGACCACGGTTAGTGAAATGGTTTCAAGTTTTGATTAATTGTGTCGTGCATGCTTATTAATTTTCATTTTGTTTTGTTTTTGGTTCTTTTTACAGCTGTCACCATGCATACGTCACTGCATAAGTTCCTATGATTACGTTCCCCTCGAGTCAGCTACCGAGCAACAAATTATGAACGAGATCATGCTTAATGGGCCGGTTATAGGAGTTGAAGAAATTCCTTTGATCCATCTCGAGCCTGGCCTGAACTGTAGAGGTGGGCCTTACAATGGACACGCGTTGAGTATAGTAGGATTTAGCCGCGACCACAACAACGAGTTGAGCTGGATTGTACAGGAGAGCATGGGACCCGATTGTTATGCAAATGGGTACAAAACTGTCAGACGAGAGCACATGATGGGAGTCTTTATTCCCGTAATTTTTTGATACATCATCTTTATGTTTTTCACATAGTGGTAAATAATTTTGTAGTTATATGATGAATCGTAACTCATGATTCTATTGATTGAGTTTTGTTTGTAACCCACAAGTGAGAAAACAATACAAGTGTCGAAAACAGATAAACCAAACTAATTTCCAAGTTACAAATATAGAGCGATAAAAACGTAACCCTACTAATTGACCTAGCTCACCCGGCAACCTATCATAGACTCCTACTACGCGATGTCGCGCTACACTCAGCACAAAGCAATAGACCTGTTTGCAAACACTAACTCACCACTGGCCTCTGAAAACATAAACCAAACTTAAATGACCAAACTGTAAATGTCCAAACGACCCAGCTTTAGTTAAGTGGAGAATTTGAACTTCTTGCTTCTGGCGAAATAGATTCTTCCCAGCTCCCACGGCGACCCGGGATCGGTTCTTCTTCTAAGAAGCATGTCATCAATACAAGTAATTCAGGGATTTTTAGTAGTGTGAATGGAAATAAAAGGGGAAAGTTTCAAAAGAGTCTCTTGAAGTACCATGTTGGTAAGATGTGGGAAGGCACGGTCTCGAATTCGATCGATTTGATGTAATATGTGGTTAATCGGTTAAATTGGTTTGTGTACCAAACGGACCAAACCAAACCGAGTTGAACCAAATCTAACCGAACTGATGTGGCGGTTGGAATAACCAAACCGGTCCAACTACCATGGGCCGAACCGATGCAATGGTTCATTATTTCAAACATGAACCAATGTGTTGGTTGGGGTGTAACCACCCATATGAAGAGTCGCCTCCCTTCGTTCGCACCCCTTCATTTTCTATAAATAGCACCTAACCCCCTTTGGTTTTTAACATAGATTTTTCCGATACGAAATTTCTGCCAAAATCCAAAACTAGTTTTCTGCATTCTTTTCAAAGAGAAAATAGAGTAAGTGTGGTTCTCGCCGGTTCGCTGCGTTCGATGGTTTCCGGGGTTTGAGGTACCGCTACGCCGGAAAGGTACGTCCGAGCTCTTCGTGTTGCCGCCTTCCTACTCCGACTCTGCCTCCCCTCTCCCCGCCGTGACTCTCAGAAAGTTTTCCCTTTCCCTGCCTCCCGGCACGACTCCTCTTCCCCCAACTCTCTACAGCCGCTGCCGCCTCTCCTTCGTCTAATCTCGATTCATATATGGCAAAGTGCAATCCATGTCGTCAGCGACTAGATCCAAGTCTCTCCATGCCTCATCTTTGGCCAGCAACATCAGATCGAGCTTGCATGTTGCCTCACCAGTCGATGATTCCTCTGGCCTCAGCTTCTCTCCTACTCTCGTTGAAATTGCCAGCCTCAAGGACGGCATTTCCTCCTTATCAGTATCGACCCCAAGCTTTCCCTATCGCCACCACTCGCCGGAGAGGGGCGCCGCCGGCGCTAGTCAAAGCCCCAATTTTGGGAGAACGATGAGGCGGTTCTCGAGGGGGAAAACTTCCGCCACGGAGCTGGTCAAAGGCTCGAAGCAGTGGGGGAGGGGGAAAAGGCCAGAGAGCGGGCGGAGGAAGAAGAAGAAGAGGCGAAAGCCATTTTATTATATTGGGCTGTAACCGGTATTCAATTAACCGAGTGGGTAACCGGAAACCGAGAATTCGATTAACGGTTAACCGACTAAAATTCGCTATCGGTAATTGCTAGCCACATTCCATAATTTGGTATACCGATAACCGGTTAATCGGTTACTAGTTAACCGATTAATCGGTTACTAGTTAACTGGTCACCGACCGATTACCAGCCCTAAGAAGAAGGGGAAGAGGAAATGCAGGAGTCCAATGAAGAAGAATTGGCCACAGGAAAGAAGTTGGAAATGGAAAATGAGAAGGAAAAGGAGAATAGGAAAGAGGACTCAACTAAGGACATGAACATGGAAAAGCAAATGGAAAGAGAGAGCCAAGAAGGGAAGAAGAATAATGAAAGTACTATGAAGGATCATAACAGGAAACCTCACCAGAAAACTACACTAGAGAACCCAAAAACGAAATCAAAACTGGAAAATGATAAGGGAGAGGAGGCCCCTAAGACCAAGGCCAAACTGAAAAGTGGTGCAAAGAAGCAAGAAGACTTAAGTACTAAGATAGCTACGACAGTGGTCAACAAGGACAGTAGCTCCACATTGAAGGCAGAAGAACAAATGGCAGCCAGTAGCATTCTACCCCTTCCAAATCAAAAACTGGGATGGACAAGGAGAGCTCCAATGATGCTAAGCCTGGACATCAGCCAAAGATGAAGGAGCTTCTCACCAAGCAAGCAAAAAGCCCAGAAAGAAAGAGCATCAAGTCACCAGAAAATGTGAAACATCCGCCCCGAAGGATCAGCTTTGATCCCAAGCAGGGAGAGGAAGCTAGAAAATCTGAAAAATGTGTTCCTTGATCCGACAACAGATTGTAGTGGAGAGGGGGAGGGTACAACTATGTCTGTCGACACTCCCTAA